GAAAAATGCAAGTCGTCCGAGAGATCTGGGGTATACATCAGTCCACTCAGCTTTCGATGCTGAGTCTGAATCTGATATTAGTTTGAAGTCATAGCCGAACTTTTTCAAAAACCATAGGCACATCATCAGTGAAAAATGACCTCAAACCATACCCCTAGCATGTTTTGGTTGGAAATGTTCCTAGGGGCCAGATTTTTTAGACTTTAGAAAATATACGATTTTGTAGCTTTTGAAAAGCGCTATCGAATGAACTATACCAGAATTTTGGTACCTTTAATTTTTCCGATAAAATATTCGTTGAAAGATTAAAGTTAGTGATAAATAAAGGCCATATGTCAGCAGTGTCTAATAATATATCAGATCTTGTTCTCACTAAATCGAACAAGGAACTATTAATTCTTATATAGGGCTAGAGTCCTATCAAGAAGCTATCAAATACTTAATTTCACAACCATTTTTTCTTATCAACTTACACCAAAACTGGGTCGACCATAGATATGGTCGATTATTGAATTAGTGCCCAAAAATGAGTAACTTTGTAAATAGCTTTTCGCTTCAAAAGTTCGATCGAAACCCCATCAAAATAGCATCAAAATGTTCATTTTAACTTGCTCTTTCGAATGATGTATGATTCAATAGGGTTATCACGGAAAATTCCTAATGGGCCGATTTGGCCTCTTATGCGCCCCCGTCCTTACATAAAATTGACTGTAATCAGTTATCTTAAGGATGTGGGAAAAAGTTGAGTTGAGCAGCTAACATTCTTAATGAACAATAGGATTATCCTCTCAAAACAAAGATTTATAGAAGAATGAAAAAGTTTCAAGAACGTTAATGGGACTAAGAAAACGATATTGTACATCCTTTTTACAAAGCAATAAAAATCCTGGTAAACCAAAATTTTAACCAAGCCGACACATATTGACAATAATAAATATGTGTTACTTATGAATTAGGTATCTGAGGTGTTCAGCTCCATTTTAATTCATTCATATCTCATTCGATAGATTATACTAAGGTAAGAAAAAGTTTAATAAAGTTCGAGTCCATGACCAATTGACGGAAAGTTATAGCCGTTTTATTGAGAGTCACTCATTTTTCTAAAAAAACTAAAATGAAGAGTTTTGGCCTGAAATTTTGCCTATAGATAGATTTAATATTCATTAGTAAAAGATATGTTCGTTTCAATGAAAGCAAACATGTGTGTCTGGAAACATTCAATTTCCGGCGAGTGTTCACTTTATAGAAAAAAACTGGTTTTCTTTCGAAAATGAATATATCGAGAACGACATGTAAATTATGTTTTCGTTGAAACTTTCAACATAATCTAATGACTATTAAATCTACCAATAAGCGAAATATTAGGGCAAAACTTTTTCATTTTAGTTTTTTCAGAAATGAGTGATTCTCAATAAAAATTTCAATAAAATGGCCATAACTCTTTGTCAGCGAATCCAAAGTCTTAAAAGCTTTTTATTACCTGAATATAGTCTATCGAATCAGATTATGAGGTAAGTTTAAATTTCCACTCTATATACTTCAACACTCCTTTTAAATCGTGTTTTTATAAAATTGAAAATTCACTTTTTTTTGTCATAATTAGTAAACATCCTACTCTCAACAATCATACCTGTTGATAAACTAAGTAAAGTAGGTGAATCAATTAATTGTTTTCGACGATCATGTTCACATTTTAATGTAAATAAACCAACTGTTGTTGTATGTATATGTATTGTATCACCACGATTTGGTAAACGATGTGGATAAATTTCTTCAAGAAATAATTTTGCATCTTCATCTTTATATGAAATAAATAATTGTGTTGCTGTTGAAAGAATTTTTTCATATACATCAATCATATCATATGGTGATATAATACATAATGCATTTAAAATACCTTTATGTACAAAACGTGAACAATAACCATGTTGTCGTATTCCATGCATATCAGTTAATGTAAAACGAAAATATTCTGGTTTAGATTTTATTGGTGATAAAAATGAATTTATATTATGATTATTATTTGAATCATGTTGATCAGGAAAACAAAAATATTTTAATGATAATTCATCATTTGCATCTAATGGATATTTAAAACGAACTGATGTTAATGTTGTTATTTGATGATTTAAATTTAAATTAGAAGATGAAAGACAACCATTTCCATTTGCAAAATAACCAATTTCTTGTTCGGGTAAAATATGTACTACATAATCATATAAAGTTGTTAATTCACGTTGAGTTGTTATTGGATTAGAATCAGTAAAAAGATTTTTTATATGATTTCCATTGCCTACAATCATTAAATTAGAATAATTAGATTTAAATCGATAGTTTCATAATCTTGATCAATTATAGAATATAATGTGTTTCACTGTTTTTTAAATAAACTTTGATAGGAACATTATAAAAAATCTCTAGGCATTCGAAATTTGATTAGTCAGAAATCGATCCATCAAATAAATTCTTGATGGAAATTTTTAAAAAACGAGATCTTGAAGTTATTTTCTTTGGATCTACGTAAAGCCGACATTCCTAGCTTGCTACATTCGACAGCTATAAGACTTTTCCAGAGACTTGTGATTACTTGGAAAAGTAGATAGACAGGAATAATCTTTCATGCTGAGTCAAATATTGATATTTATTTTTAATTTCAAATAATCCGATACTGTTATATCAATATTTTCATAACGCTAATATTCAATCATATTCAACAGTTGTAAGATGAGCAAAGTTTTTTCATAAAAACAAGAGAAAATATCAATGATGACTCTCGATCTAGTTGTCTAATTTACAAGCTTACAAATGTAAATATTGAACTATGTAGTATGATGAAAGATGAGCAATAACGATGTACATTAAACTTATAATGATATTATAGTTGAGATATCTCGATCTCTCGTGATACAATAAAATGTATTGACGAAAGATGAGAAAAACTATATCATGTTCATTGCTTCATTAATTCAATGATGAACAAAAGGAAGAACGAATTAAAATTTGAAAAAAATATTTTAATCAATAACGATGAGACTTGAATTTATTATTGACAAATTTAGTGAAAGTCAACAAACTGAAGCTTGATTAATAAAGGTGAATCATCAACAATTATTGTTCACCAAAGTAAATTTTAATCATAAAACTTTCTTTTCCATATACGATCGGTAATCTTCTGACCGTCATTCCTACCACAGCATACCGACAATTCACTGCAGGTACATTGTCAGTAGTGTGACATAAAGAATCATTAGATGAAAAAAGTCATAAAATAAATTCACAATAATGCTCGACCTCATACTCATCCACATGTGATTATTTGTTTTAACTCAAGAAGATAATACTATCATACTGCATCAATCCTTTTTTTCACTAAATGATTATATCAAATATAATTTAACTGATTAATCTGATTAAAAATCATTGGTTCGTATGGTTTTCAATGTTATCAAAACTTTTAGTAAATTCTAAATAAGAAAGTAATACGCGTTATACATACTTAATGAATCATAAATATTTTTGACTCGACTAACATGATCAAGTCTTGATGTTCGAATATCATCATTATTTTCTGATGATATACTAACAGAATCATCACTATCTATTGTCACAGTATTAGTATCATTTAATGATTGTTTTGATAAAGATAATGGAAGAATACGTTTAAAACGATCAATAAGAGCACGTGGTGAAAAAAATGTTGAATGTGATGATTTTGTTTTAGCAAGATTTGGTTCACTAATACCTTTCTTCATTGCAGATTTTACATTTGTTAATGGATAATCTACTTTTGTTTTTATTGTTGATGTACCCAATGTCACATAATTTGATGATATTTTCATTGTTTGTGTTTTATTATTATTATTAAATAAAAATTTTTGAACATCATCTTGTTTATCAATTGTTGATAAAGGTGTTTGTAATTCTTCATAAATATTTTCATTTGGTACAAATTTTTTTATATTATCAAATAATATATTTGATTTACATTCAATATTTGTATCATCTGTATCTAATGGTAAAAGACCACTTGATAGTAGAGCACTTGAAACACCTGCAGTCAAATCCATACAACTAATCGAACGAGAACCTAAAATAAACAATTAATAGTTTTAGTTAATCACTGATTTCTAGCAAAAAATTCGAACCGCTTTTTTGTTGACAATTACAGAATATTATAAAAATCGTAAGATCTATTTCCGAGTACATATCCTCTTAGAACTTCTATATGAGTTCAAACGAAGGTTATTAGTTGAAAGTAGTGATAAGCGAGACTATTTCGTCTATATATAATTTCCGCACTCAAGGTAAAAAATGTAAGTTCAATAACTCGACAACAGTAATATTTCGCGATCTTTAGTTTTTAGGAATCCAAAGAGAAGAACGCCGAAGCATCTTTTCGTTTGACACTATGTAAGATAAAATTATTTTAAAACTCATTATCTTCTCAAAAAAAAAAACCCATGAAAACGATGTTTCGTTTCAAGAAAATTTGCTAAAAGTCGAAAGAATCCTATATAACTTGACCGAATAGATACATCATTTCATTTTCTCAACATTGAGATATCAAAAGATAATCACCTGAGTCTCAATATCAAAATAACATCGAAACGGACACACTATTTTCATGCATATTTTTTATATGATAGATTTGAAAATAATTTTATCTTATATATAATATCAGAGAAAAAAAAACGTCGGGATATTTTCCTCTTTCGATTGCTGAAAACCACATGTCATCTTAAATTTTAGCACGAACATTAATTAGAAGAGTTTCCTTGTCAGTCAATATGTTGACAAGCATGGCTAAAAAATTTTCTATTAAATAAATGCTCTCAGATAAAACCAATTGTTTGACCTTCTCTAACAAGATATGAAGGTCATATGTGTCATCATTTGTATTAGTGTATTATATCTAAGCACAGTTATTGTGATAAGTATTGTCGTTTCTTTTCTTGTCTTAAATGAATATTCATTAGAGATTATAAAATCATATGTACCATCTGTCATTTTTAAACATACGTAATAATGATACTTATGACCTTCATATCTGAACATTGATTTATTTTTGTTTTAGCCTTGATGCAGTTTTTATATTTTGTGAAATTGAAAGAATAGAATTTGGTTTTGTACATAATATAAAAAAATAAAATAAAACTGTTCAAAATTTACCGAGATCAAATGTAGGTGAATCACTTGTTGATGAAGATAATGAAGGTACTTTTTGATCGATAGTTTTTGGTAAATGATTATATCGATTTTCATGTTCAAATGTTCGTGGTGGTTTTCTTGGTGGTAATTTTTTAAATAATGGATTTTCAGCGATTGGTAATGGACTTTCTTCTCGTTCATTTATTGATTTTTGTATAACAATAGGACTATGAATAGATAATCGTTGTTGAATTTGAAAACCAGTTGAATTTGTTGAATTTAATTTATGATTTCTTCTTAAAGAAAATGTTTCACTACGATCAATCGAATGATTTGTTTTTATATCATTTGTTGTTGTTGTTGTTGTACTATCAGGAAATGAAGTTGTTTGAACAATAAATTTTGCCGATGATGATGTTGATGATGCTGATGATATTGATGGTGAATCAAGTCTAGATGAATTACGAATTGTTGCATGACGAATAATTGATATTGGATGATGTTCAAGAGTTGATGATGGAGAATGATTTAATTTAATATTTGAACGACTATTTAATGAAGTACTATCAAAAATTTCATCACTTGAATATGAATTAGCAATAGTTACTGGAGTACCAATACCAGATTCGTGTAATATCTATTAGAAAATTTATAAATGAAATATTAAAAAAAAAGAAAACCAAAAAAATTTAATATATTCGTTACCCAAGGTTTTAATGATTGACGTTCATCACTTGATAATGATTGATCATTAGTACGATCTGTTATTAGAGAATTTCGTTTTGATATAATTGATGGTGATGAATTTGAATCATAACCTGTTGATGAAAGTGATATTGATGACTGAAGACTTCTTGTTGATTGAAATAATTCATTATTATTATCATATGTTATTGTTGGATTATGTTTTACTACATTACATGTAGTTTTAACAAGAACCGGTTTAGCATGTACAGCTAATGTACGTTGTAAATTTGAAGCATATTGACGTGTACTACCTAGACGATTTAAATGAGTTGATGTTGGAGAAGACTCATAACTATCAGCATAATTTATAGCTGAAGCCATAACTAATTGACGACGTTGATTATATGTTAATATGGATTTTTCACGTTCGATTGAAGATAAGAGTTGTTCAGACAATAACGGTGTATATGAAAGTGTGTCTAAAATAAGAGATAGACATTTATGACTTGCTTACACGCATGTGTTACTCAATAAAAATTCGAGAAAAAAAAAGAAGAAGAAATGGGATGGATCAGTTGAAATATGTGGAGGCAAAAGAATGACTAATGAAATATCGATATTGCTTACCAACCAGATTCGACTCATGGCCTTTTGCCATTCTCTTCTTTTCCTTTTTTCTTTTTTACTATTATCTCGAAACATTCGAATGTTTATTCTTTTTCATCTTTCTTCGTTTTTTTTTCGATGTTGATGATGAATCTAACTGCTCGAATTTCAAATAAAATGAAGAGAAAAAAAGGGAATTGACCTTCAATACTNACTACCTAGACGATTTAAATGAGTTGATGTTGGAGAAGACTCATAACTATCAGCATAATTTATAGCTGAAGCCATAACTAATAGACGACGTTGATTATATGTTAATATGGATTTTTCACGTTCGATTGAAGATAAGAGTTGTTGAGATAATAACGGTGTATATGAAAGTGTGTCTAAAATAAGAGATAGACATTTATGACTTGCTTACACGCATGTGTTACTCAATAAAAATTCGAGAAAAAAAAAAGAAGAAGAAGAAATGGGATGGATCAGTTGAAATATGTGGAGGCAAAAGAATGACTAATGAAATATCGATATTGCTTACCAACCAGATTCGACTCATGGCCTTTCGCCATTCTCTTCTTTTCCTTTTTTCTTTTTTACTATTATCTCGAAACATTCGAATGTTTATTCTTTTTCATCTTTCTTCGTTTTTTTTTCGATGTTGATGATGAATCTAACTGCTCGAATTTCAAATAAAATGAAGAGAAAAAAAGGGAATTGACCTTCAATACTATCTGTTGTTGTTTTCTTTTTGTATTCCTTCGGGGTTTTTTTTTTCGCATCGATCTCTGATGATTTATGAAGAGAGATAAAACAGGTTTCTGACATTCAATCAGATGATTACATTTGTTTTGCTTTTTGTTTTGTTTTACCTGTATGAAACTGATTTTCATTTGATAATGATGAATTTAAATTCAATATTTGTTCATCTTGTTTTAAAGATAATAAACAATGTTGAATTGATTTATTCATAAGTTTAGTACGAAGTACTTGATAGTCACTAAGATATTGTTCGTTAATTGATTTATCATTTTCTATGACAATATCATCGATATTTGTTGTTGTATGTTGTAATTTTTCATCATCAGTAACAGGCAATTTAAGTAAAACATGTGATGGAAATGATGATTTCAATTTTGATTGTCGTTCATGAATTGTTGAACATGATTGTTTATCAAACATTTGTCGAATTTGTTGAAAATGTCCTTTTGGTAAACAACGTATACTTTCACGTATACGTGTACCTGAACGTATTATATTTACATCAGATTCACTATTTGTATTCATTGTATTCACTATGAACTTGAAAAGAAATTAAAGATATCTTTATGAAATAACATGTCTAAACAGATTAAAATTGATCAAGAAGAGAAAATCAAGCTTTTTTTTTTTTTTTCATCTCGGTAAAGAATGTATTTTTATCCTGAAGGCTAATCTCTATATGCACGCATTCAATCGGTTAAAATTAAGAAAGAAAAAAAAAAAAAAGCTTAAAACTTTAATTAATGGTACTAGATCTATATATCACCCTTAAGGAACTCTCTCGATTAACACTTATTCATGTAGTGTTAAGATGTTTGTGTGAAAATTTTTAGATACTTATCATCATCTCATAAATATCTCTAATCACTCTGAAAGTTCTCAATTTTAATGTCGGCGAAGGAGAAAAAAAATTCATGAATATATTTTTATTACATGATTATTCATATATAATTTTTTTTTTCATATATTTAATAATCGTCGGTAAAAAAAAAGTAAAAGTCAAGCATCCACTTGAGAAAAAAAAATTTTTTTACATTAAGCCAAGGTAACATCCTACGCTAATTTTGCAATATTAAAAATTTTACTTTTCAAATAGCCACTTTTTCTTTTTTTTCTTATAATACAATGAATAATAAAGTACAAAAAAAAGCGACACACATTCAACACACTTACTTTTGTATAATAACTTATGATATGACGTTGAATGATATCGAAAGGGAAAGACTAATCAAACATTAATTTCTGACTAGGCAACTCAAGATTGTATTTCAATGACAAAACAATTAAACAACGTCGTCATCTAATCTCTCAAGTGAATATATCTAGTGGTCGTATCGTTTCGCTTTTTTTTTCTATCGAATATAAAGCAAGAATGAAGAAAAGGTCAATATATTTCGTACGAGATACATAGGAGTTGTATTGTTTAACGAACAAATTATAAACATATAGATGGACAAACGTGAAGAAAAACATTACTAAAAAGGTGCGACCTTGAGAACTGCAAATACATATATATATATAGATAGATATATACAATTGACATAAAGAATATAAAAGTTGTTCAAAAAGTAAAATAACTAATGACATATAGAATATAAACTGTTTGTTTGATGATTTATTTCTTATCGAAATACTAAAGAAAAAACAAAAATGTTATCACTTACATTTTAAATTTCACTAAAGCTCAATCGTCTTCGTTTCAATTAACAGAAGAAAAAAAAATATATAAAAAAGACATGCCCTTCTTTTCATAAACGAAGCCGACATGCAATCTTTTCTCTTCTAGACTTTATATCATAACTATTCAATAATAAAAGATAAGAATGTCTCAATTTAATCGTTTTAGTTATTTTTTTTTTATGTGCTTCTCTCTTACCTGATGTGATTTTTCAAGTTGACAAAGAAAAACGGCAGTAATACGTTTTATGTTTTTATTCGTTGTTGTTGATTATTTGCAATCGTATTTGTTTCTCTTCTGTGTTTTTTTTTTAAATGAAACTGTTATACATATATATATATAGTAGATACGAATATACATGCAATGAACACCTCCTCATGCTGTGTCGTTTTCTTCTTAATTGTAACACGTTGCCAGTAGACTGTGTGAAAGAATGATGCAACAATCTACAACATATTATATATGAAATGTGTACATGTACATCTATTTTAGGATTAAGCATGTCTTTCGAAATAAGATGCTAATAATTCTCTAAATGTTTTAAAAAGAAAATAATCTATTCTTCTTTCATAAGACAACTTACAAAATAAATATGTATATATATATATACAGCATCAATGTCAAACGTGGATGTACTGCATAGGATTTTTTTTTCTTCGTCGTTCTGTTTTCAGTTATAGACACATTCATCACTTTTGTGCATGTTTGAAACAATTAAGAATGAAAGCGCTAAAGAAAAATGATTTTCAATATTAGAAGGTCAAAAGTTCGCTTATTCACTAGAAACAAAAAGCAAATAATACACATATATAGAAATGTTGAATCTATCTCTATTCTATATAATTTGTTTAACGAAAAGGATATTGTTTTTTACGCCTGTATTATCATATAATACAGATGATTGATTTCTTTTCTTTTTATATAATACAACTGCTGGATATGTCCAACCGTGATAATCATAGACGTGATGTTCAATATTATAAATCTGTTCAAATCAATAAAGTTTTGTATAAATAAAACATATATATAAGTAGATCAAAGACTATTAAACGGATCAATTGGATGTTCTCATTTATAAAAGAAGAAAACTGTGAGAATTTATTTACATAAATGTAGACCAGGTGTTACAATTTGTCGCCGATGAATATAAAATGAATATTCAAGGATAAATTTAAATATAACAGTCAGAGAACAAGGTCGTTAACAAGAAAAAAATATATTATATCCAAACATAATTCATATTATATGAAACAATCGATCAGTGAACGAAATTAAAACTTATTAATAATCAATTGAAACAATATCAGATAGTCTAATGAAAAATATCTTGATATAAAAAAATTCAGATAAATAAATAACATCAAAATATTATCTTAAAATCATGAAATATTTCTCTTTTATTATACAGTCGGAAACGATGATAAATTCTAATGTCTACATATCCTTATACGATAGATAATGCAAACTAAAGAATATTAGTGCAACAATCTAGGTTAAATGTTGATGATGTATAATGAAAGTTGATTTTTTCACATACAGTTTAAGCAGTAAAATCTCTAGATTTAAGTCGACATAAGTTAAGAAATTCATTGTTTACAGTAAAGTATATTAAAAAGCATATCTGTATTTGTTAAGGGTGTATATTAGATCAGCAAATACGTTTTCTATAAAAAAAATATTTTTCTAATAAAAAAGAATTTCCTTATACAATCACAAAAATCATTTCTGTTTTTGCATTTTATATTAAAATAAATTTTTTAGCACTTATTTCTCATAACTATTTCATTGTACGGTCGATAACTAGGAGAGATTAAACGCCGAATTACTATATAAAAGTGTTAAGTAATTTGAAATCTATACATAGATTATAAATCATACAAAACTTGATTAAAATAATTTACTTTCGTTTTGAATAACTAACAATGATTTTCATTATCATATGAAAGTGTCTATAAATTTTATGTCGAAATAAAACATAAAATACAATTTGACAACCTATATAAAAAAAAAAAACATAAATTTTTCTTTTTTTCAAATAATAATCATTATATGACAAATAGTGAATAGATACTATATAATGAGTCATCAAAATTATGCAGTTAAATCGAACAAGTGAAGCAGAAAGAAAAAAAAATCTTGCATTTTTTATTTCCTCTACAGAGATGATTCAACCCTTTGAATCAGTGTAGTAACTTCTGAAATTGCTAACACATGAGAAGGTTATTTTTTTAAAATGATTTATAAGAAAGAGATTGTAAGTATATGGTACAGGACACTTCAACAATTC